GGCTCATATATTACACTAAAAGCTACAACACATAGCAAAAACTACCACCCACCGAGACAACCTAAAATGTAAAAATCTACACAGACCATGTTTTGATTCGTGAGTACAAAAAAAATAATAGCACAGTCAGAGCTTTCAACTAGCTTTTTAAAAAGACAAAAGCTGATGGGTATGTACAGGTATATAAATTTCATATAAAATCATCTCTGAAGAGGTAAGCTAGAAAAATGTACCGATGAACTAGGATAAGTAGGAATTCATAGAAAATCCAGTTAGTAAACCACAGACAGGAGCAAAATCTTCATAGAAAAGCCTGGACATAATCTAGACATTATTAAAAAGCCCCACAAACGTTCTGAATGCTAATGTACCATTCCATCCAATGCACCCAGAATGCTACTCTTGAGAAACTCAAGGAAGTAGTTTTTGTCTTCAGATGACAAAATATAAGGTCAGAAGTACATTGTTTAGATAGGCTACCAAGGAAGGTATAGGAACAGTTTCCTTACAGCAGAATAGTTAAAATAGAGACTGACGATTAATACACCATCAGCCTCAATTAAAAACTGAGACTTTATATGTTCAGAAAGAGGGGAGGAAGACTGAGTTCATATTTCACAATGAAAAATGTATTAATAGGAAGAGAAGAGGTAACACTTATTTCTGATGACAAAAGATAGGACGAATCCTTCCCTAATAACAGTGACTGTTAATTTAGGACTTGGTAGTGGAACCCTAATCTGAGATTTGGTGGTTGGATGCTTACATTTCTTCTGAGAAACATGGAGTAGATCAAAGCCCAAGACGAGATGTAAACATATCAATACCCATTTAGCAAACCCAATTTTTAGCAAAATGCGAACAATCAAATTTAATTGCAAAAAGCCACCATGGTAACTGCCTAATGCTACTGCAAGATAGTGAGAATAGCGTGCAGAGTTTTGTCTAAAAGCATGAAGGTGGCAGCTGCAAAAATGATGCAAAAATATGCAAGAAAGGGTTCTCAAAGCTCATCTAAGGATTAAATTAGGGAGACAAAGAGTAAATAATTTATAATGAGGAGTGACATTAGCTAAGCTATGACATGCCACATAAGGCAAAGTTACAAGCCAGGGCAAGTCCACATTGGTGTCTCAGAACACAAGTCAAAAAAGACTCACAGATAATCATAAAAGTTTTGTTTTACCCTGGTGAACCTTTTCCACAAAAAAAAAAAACAACCCTCCAAAACAGTCTCTATGTTTTCTTGGTCATTATTCATAGCTTTTCAGCCAGAAAATCCCATACTGAAGAGTGACTTGTCTGTGTCAAGTTAATTCTTCCTAGACATGGTATACCCCCAGAAGTAACACCTAACAAACGGGCTGCAATCTGACAGGCAATGAGCTCAGCCTACTTTCAGTGATGTCCTGAACTTACATCTGTCACTAAGTTGGGCAGAAAACAATATTAGAGTAATAACAAATTTAGTGGAAAAGACTGCCGTCAGATGTCAGTCTGTATGTGGTGTTGTTAAGGTGCAGCCTGGCACTGCTGATGGCTGGGCTGCCACGCTGCTTAGAAGAAAACCAATGCCAGGAACATCTACAGGTTAGAACCCGATGGAGAGAAACGAAGGAACTCTGTTCTTGGAGGAAGCTGATCTGCATTGGGTAGTATGCATCTTGCCTGGTTTTAGACCTCTGTAGTCTGTGTGTGTGCTACCATTTCAGAAGTGGCTGGAAGCACTGACATATTTAAAAGGTTTAAAACCGTATGTGAATGTACACAAAATGCAGTATTACTAAAGCATTCAAGACTTGTGCCTTATTTTGTACGTAACCTGTAGAGCACCACCAATCCTGCTGCACACCACATTTCTCTCCCCATCCTCCCCTCTCCCCTCCTCTACACCTGGGGCGTGTGCTGTGCTTCCCTTACCCCAGCCACCAGCCGTCACAGTGCTATTGCCTCTCCTCAGCAACACACTGGTGTAGAGCTGATGTACGTAGGGTTTTGGGGAGCCAAGGGCTCCAGGAGGGAGTTATGCTGAGATAGGGCACCCCATACACCAAAGGAAGTGCAAAAAATTTTCTTCTCCCTAGCTCCCACGCAGTGGAGAAAAGGTCCTACCTTGTCTCAATCTCTTGCTCCCCTAAATCACAGCATGTGAGAGACTACCTCTTCCCCACTGGCCCCTTTTCCAATAGACTTAATAAAATTGTGACTTAAGTACTTTAATACAGCTATGAACAATGTTAAAAGATTCCCCTTACATCAATCACTGCTGAAGGATGCTGACTCACTGCTGTAGAAGAACACCATGAGAACACATTCTACCAAGCATCTTCCCTTTGGGAAGTCTCAGTTTCTTACAAATATTGTTAAGAAGCAGAAATAGACACAATTGTCAAGTGAAAAATGTAATTACTGAAGAAACAGTAGAACACACCTGAAAGGAAATAGTCTGATGTTTCCATGTTTTAATTTATACATTTGTCCAGTTCTGTAAACTGGGACTACAGAGGGTTAAAAAGCTTGAAACAAAAGTGCTTCACTTGACCCAGAACCTTTTTTTTTTTTTTTAATCTTTTCCATATTACTGGCAGCAACAGCAATTTGATGAACTGCTGCTCTTCCTCCACAAGTAACTGCAGCTCACAGAGGGCTGCCTGACTTTCTGCCGGTGTAAATACGGACAAACCAGATCCTTGAGCAGATTCTGTATTTGTTCTAATTGCAAAGCATTGCACACAGACTTACAATAAGTTATTCTAATAAAGTGATTAGGATCACTATGGCCCATGCTACAAAGAGCTTAGATTCAGAGATACAGGTCCCTCTGCCTGTGAAAATTCCCACCTTCTGTTTAACATCAGCCTATCTTCCTTCATACAGCTGTTCTGAGCACAATTGTATTAACAGTGTGGCCATTTAATAAACCATTTTCTTCTATCTTCTTGACATTGAGACACTCGCATTTTATGATGGCCAACACTTACCCATTCTTTCTGTTAATTTTATAGGAAATAATCTGCTAGATTTTATAAGAATCAGGTAGAAGCTCAATATTCAGGATACGCCTTTCACACAGGTGCACTCAGTTGTGTCTGCCAGCTTCAGTTCCAACTGAATTATTTGCTGCATGAGTTGTTGAGAGATACCTGATCTGAAGACCAACATGACTTTTCAGATTTCTGCCAAGCTGCATTATATTTTTTATGCTTTATCTTACCCTTTATGTCCACATTTGACAATACGCAGTTGCTGTTTCTGTGCTCTCTCCCGGTCTATATTATGTCATGCACAGACATCCATTCAATAAGGTTACTAAAATAGGAAGCCTTTCCCTAATAAAGTATTTAAAATTCATCTATCAGAACAGTAGCTAATTATCAAATGAGGTGGATACAACTCCCAATAAGCTTGTCTTACTGCTTTGTTTTCCTTAAAGCTAATAATAGCATTACCAAAATGTCTAAGCATATCCTTTGGAAAAGAACAATATAAATAAAATTCCCAGTAGAGGAGAAGGAGGCAAATTTGCATCTGTACACACAGAGTGTATTTATTCTTAATGTTTTTGCTTGTTTAATGATCGATATTTTCAAAGCTTTCTCTGCTTGAAGGATATTTTTTGACAGGAACATTTAGATTTGGGGCTGAAGATTACTGTTCTATTCTTATAGTGAAATTAAACTCCATTTCTTCAAAGAAAGCTTTGGAAGTGTTTCTTATATATGGTGGAAGTATAGATTGGCAGCACAATGATGATCTTCACTATTCTTATGATCAGCAGCTGTTAACCTATTTTTATCAACAACTTCATTACTCCAAGAAATGCTTTTGCAAAATGTGAATGCAGCTGGTGAGATCATTCCAGATGAGCAGTCTTCTCCTCATGAATTTTTACAAGCAGGTTCCAAAAATCTCACTTCAAGAAGTAACCAACTGCCAAGTCATCCTCCTCCAACACACAAGGCCTTCCTCTTCTTTCCACTCATGCTCCAGGTAAGCAGAAATCACTCAGGTCATAGACAGGCATCTCCCAGACAGCTTTATGTTATCCCTCTGAGAGCTTCAGCACCCTCCCTAAGGCCTTTGGTGGGCTCCACAATATCCTGGGATGCCACTACTATATACAAAGCCCACGATAAGTGCTTAGAACTGGTTTGCCCATGTCAGATGCAATCTCATAGAAAGAGTATCTTCTGCTGCTGCTGACTGCAGCAAATACATAGACCAATACCACCATGTCAAGGAGGAAAGGATGGAGTTTCCAAAGTGGAAGACAGTATTTGGAGCTCTAATGCCCTCTGAGTCTCAGAAGCATGAGCAAGGAAGACCCTGACTCAGCCTTGCCACTCTGACTACTTGCATCCTTTAGCCATTCACCATCAGGACCTGCTATGCATCAGATAAGTCATTATGCTGTACGAACCGTGAGCACAGTGCCAAATTATCCTGCAAGAAATACTAAGGAAGGCCCCCCAAAAATACAGTGAAACTGTATTCCTTCAAGTCTAAGAAGAAAAGGGATGCTTTGGGCACTTTCAGACTGGGCACTGGAAGCCGTGACAGGGCATGGGAAATCCCTTTCCTTGGGGACACAGCTTGGCCTGTCAGTGATTTCATCTGCTCTGTATGATCTGCCATATGCTTACACTTGTCTGATGCATCTCTGCTTTATGATCCCAACAAAAAACTTCAGAACTGAGTAGGTTCTCAACAGATAAATTAACATAGAATAATACAAAATTCTCATAGATATATGTATGTTTTATAAATATGGCATGTATACTATGGATGTGAAGGGAAAGAAAGCAGAACATTATACACAACTATTTTCTAGTGTTCATACTGTGTGTTTTAGCTAGTCATTTTTTCTGTATAGAGCACCAAGAACAAACAGTACATATGGATACATGTATAGACTTGATCCTTATGCAATGTACACATTTATAATTTTTAATTTTTTTTTAATCTAACATATCTATTGGGCCCATCTTTGACACACCTACCAATAAAACCTGAAGAAGGAGGGTTGGGCTGTATCTTCTCTTTAGTGTTCTCCTGAATGATGTCCCAGAGCTGCCATATAAACTTTGGATGGAGAATGTAAAATGGCTGGTTTGGATTCTTCCTGCGATGCTGTACATAGGGAGTGAACAGATTGTAGTCCGGCTTCTTATACCACTGGGAGGCAAAAAGTAAGAATTTTTTCAATCTTAATAGTATCAAATGCATTTTGAACACTACATTTACAGTAACATGAACTAGCTGCATTCGGGTTCTTCAGAACAGAAGCAAAGGTAGCAAAGCAGCCTGTACTGGTGGATGCTTCTCCTAGAAAGCCAGTCCTCACTCTGGGCTATTCTGCTTCCTTTCTTCATGCAGTCTCCCCATAAGCAATTCACTGCAGTAGGCCGAGCTAACCCCATTTCCCCATCACTTTAATCAAGGGGTTCAAAGAGCCTTGACACAAGATCAGGGCATGGGGGTGAACCTTCCTCTGAAAGTGTCCCTGTCCCTGATGGAGGCAGCAGCAGCATGGGAAGCAGGCTGCTGGCAGCCTGGCAGCCAGCCTCTGGCATCTGTTGCTAAGGGAGTTCAGCAGCTAGAGGTTTACTTTCTACTTTGCAGCCTGCTCAGCTCCGAGCTCTTCCTGCCAAGAACCATCAGATCAACTGGTCCACTGGAGCTGCAGCACCAGCCAAAGAAGAGACTCCCCCAGTGACAACCAGATGGATGTCTGCTAATCTCAGTGAGGGGGTGGATGGCATGGTGCAGATGGCTGTGGGGGAGTGGACACAAAGGGAAGACTGGTGGGGAGGAGGCCTGAGAAATGGGGAAGGCGCCAAGAGAGATTTTCATTAGGGTGTTGTATTTCATCTAGGGAGGTAGAAGAAAAGGTGGGAAAATATGGATGCAATTCTTCACCTTTCCTGATAAAACCTCCTTCTAAAATCTAGCAATGTTCCTGCCTTGGCAAACACACAGAAAACTCACTGTTATGTGAAAATAGCAATATTTTATAAAAAGAATACCCCATCCTACATCTATTCTAGCATCTCAGAGCAGTCCATTCCAGTACAAGTGCTGCCTACTAAAAAAGCTTTTGACCAATAAACCAATTTTGACCAATTAATGAAGAAATAGCATTCTTCACTCCTTAGTCAAAGACAGAGTTTGGGGTTCATTGTGACAAGTGAGAACCAGGAGACTGCAGTACTAAATACATTAATTTTCTCCAGTGTTTTCAGACTGATTGGGAAGAAAGATCCCAGCAGACATCTTACCACGTTCAGATTCGCAGAGTAGGGGGCAGGATCCCAGGCTACTAAGATAACATCTTTGTACAAGGAGCTGTCGACAAAGTGATGGTTTGGATTGGTGAGAATCTGTAAACACAGAATCAAAGAACTGCACAGCGTTAAAAGCAAGTGGGATCCCGAAAAATGGCAAAACTCTTCTCTAAAATGAACAGTCCTCCCCACGCTGCTGTTTGTTCTGCTTTAATTCTGGTTGATTTTAAGCATTCTGTTTTGTTAAAAATATATACATAAAACAGCTTAGCCATAAACAGCACCCATGACAGTTTTAAGTAGCAGTATGCTGAATTACTCTCCATCTGTGAGGGATGTGATGGGACCACTTGAGAAGCTGCATAATTGTGTATCAACATTACTGTGTATTCCAGAACTTGAAAACGAAAGCTACAGTACTTCACATTGCCTGCACGACCTTCCTCTTAGACACAGGGCAGCTTTCTCTGAAGGGCTACAGCGCCCAAGGATAATGTCTTTCCCCACCCATCCCACCCCCTGCCTTTTTGGTTGCTTTCTCATTTCAATAGCAAGACTCCAAAAAGCCAAATTAGACCATGACTGTAAAAGCTGGTATACCTAGAAAAATAATTCCAGGAACAAGCACGTGATAGGGCTATTTTTGAAGAAACTGTCACATTGCTCTGATCTACTGTTCTCATATATCTCCTTCTCGCATTGCCTGGTGCTCTGCCTCATCCTCCTGCCCCACTGAAAATTTACTCTTCCCTCTTGTTGGATCATCCCTTTCCAGACCCTCCATGCCTAACTAGATCTCTCTCATCCCTGGTGTATCAAATCTCAGGCAGTACTGAGTGCAATGATTTCAGCATTGGTTGAAACAGCATGAATTTGGCTCCAGCTGTTAAACTAATCAACATTCCACACAAATAAATTCTTACTAATTTTCATTTCCCTTTAGGATCCAATGAGCCATATTTGATTATGCATATTTTTCTTCAGAAAAAATAATATTGTTGCCATAGCAATATTCTTCCTACCATAAACTTTGAGCTTAATGACTTTCCATCAGCCTTTTACAACAAGAACAGAATTAGTCGTGCTGCCATCAGCATCCCCAACTCCGTTTCTCAGAGCAGTTTTCGCCTGAGAACGTAAACTCCTTTTTTGAGAGTATAAACAGACCAAAAGGTCAAGCTTTTAAAAGCTCAGTTCCACAGTTATCACACAAAGGAGCTCTTACTTGCCTTTCAGTAAGCAAGAATCCTTTGGAGGTGTTGTCCACACAAATTTCACTCTTAGTGAGCCTGCATTCATATGCATGAGATGAGTTTCTTCTGGAATAACAGTATCTGTTGTGGCTGCACTGGCTTCCTTCACGTCCTTTGGGCTTTCACAGCGGAGAACATGAGGGAAGAAGAGGGCCACAGCAGCCTTTTAATTATCTGAATGCAGCAATTTCCAACAGCGAGGAAGGAAGGAGGGTCAGTAAACCTGTATGGGTAACCCATCTTCAGCATTGGTAGGGGAAAGCAACTGTTATCAAGTGGCCTGTGCAGATTTCTCTCCCAGAGAAGGGAAGGACAGTTTCTCAGCAGATGGCCAGAGCATCACAGGTGGCTTCTGACATCTTTGAAGGAGCAGAAGGGTGGTGGGAATATGAACACTTGGGAGGAAGCTGTGTGAGCTGACCTGGCCTGAACTTGAGCCATGCCCTGTGTTTTCTTGAGAGGCCTGGTGGAGAGCAAGCAATGTACAGCACAGCAGAGAAAACCATAGGACCCTCCATTACCACCCCAGTGAGAGCATATTGCAGCAGCTCTGGGAGCCAGGAGGACCCCAGCCTGCCGCAAGCACCAGAGAGCAGCTAATTTAGCCATTTAGTCTCTCTAAATTCACTGGGGAGATAACGAAGTTCAGATTACTCCCTGAAGGCATTTCTCTCTTCTCCTATAGGGAGCCTATTGAGACTTGTCAACTAAATAAAGTTTCTAAGCCCTCCTCCTTGCCTGGCACAGGAGTTCAGGCATGGTCAGCAACCAGAAAATTTTGGCTAACAGTAAAATGGAGAACTGTCAAAGAAAAGGAAAAAAAAAAACCCAACAAACCCAAAAAGTAAAATAAATGTCATTAAGTTCAATGTTCTTTGATACATTGATTTCCGCATTAAAGCCAGAGTAAGATATTTCTGCATTCTTCCCCTAAGCAAAAGAAAGGAGGCATCTTTAACCCAGATCACTTCAAAGACCTAGTCTGTCCTGCGGCCTCACAAAGAGCTACAAAACAAGTGTGACGGGAGTGACAGTGAACAGTTCTCTCTGTGGTGGCAAAGAACATAAACTTATACACAGAGAACACACCCACCAAGGATTGACTTTGCATGGGCAGTCACTCAAAGAAGAAGAAAAAACTAATTTGTAAGAATTACAATAAATGAAAATTTTGCTCTCATTCAGCAAGAATCAGTATGTATAGAGCATGCTACATGGCCAACCATACTACTGGTGTTGACTAAGTAAACTCATCATTTCAGTATGTCATAAAATTTCAGAGTAATTTTGTTGTTTTTTGGCTGCATTTCATAAAGATGAAAGAGGCTTGGTTTGCCCAAGACCAGAATTCAGGCAGTATTTTTTTCAAAATTGAAAAACTGCTCTCAACCATAAGGTGTCACTGTAGCTCAATGCACAATTATTTGTCGACACCCATAAGCAGAAAATCCCATTTTCTGTTTCCATTCAGACAAACAAAACTCACCTTATGTGTAACATCCAGTGTACATTAAAGTTTTTCACTAGATCATTCCAAATTTTTAAAGAAGACTGACTTGCCTAAAGTTATGTATTAAGACAACCCAGTTCCCATTTCTTTCCCCTTCCAGCAAGGAAATAATTGGGGAACTAGAGAATACAAGAAAAGAGCTTTGGGATCCCCACATCCCAGGCTTTGTGAAGATCCCAGAGGCAGTGTGGTGAAGGTCTTCTGTACTGATGGCTCTGGCATCCTGCAGAGCCTTTATAAATGTAGGACACATAAGAAACTCTACAAACCAATTCTTTGAAACAAGGATATCAAGTAACTACTGCAATCATTCTACACTGACAGCAGTGTGAACATCCCTGTAAGGGAGAACTTTTACCTACTCTACATCATGACTGTTAAATCACTAGCTGTTTCCCAGATTACCCAACATTTTCTCAGAAGTTATTAATTTAATGTCATATTGTACAGAAGTGACATTGACTTGAATTCACAAAAGGAAGATCTTACCTGAGAGTTAATGATTCGCATGGTTGTTTTATTTCCAACATCTTTTTCATAGCCACGTGTTGGAGCAGAATTAAATCTTAGAACAGCATCATGAGAATCTACGAGCATAAACGGGGGATAATTTGTTTTTTCTTAGTAATATAGAACAATAAAATAATCTAAACTAACGCAAAACTTACACATATCTCCTAATTTTTATATTCTAAGGATGATAAACATTATACTACATGCAAACAAAAATCCTCTTGCATCTGCTATACGTTATTAACATTTTTAAAATCCACTAGAAAAAAGTTCAGAATTATCTATTAATTCAGCTTGCAATACGTAAGTATTTCCCTTAATTGGATAAACTTAGTGTGGGAAAGTTATTAGTACATCCAGCACACACAATTGCTCACTATTTCTACTGCAAAATTTACAAGGAATTACTCCATGCAGAAGCATGTTAATTGCAAGGATATCTAATTGCATATTTGAATGAATAACAATGCTTAAGTATAAGCTTGTGCTTCACAGTATTTTATAATACCTGAAAATCTCAGACTACCCCAAACCTATTAATCATACCATGTACTTATTCTCAAGGTCAGTACAAGTCTTAAAGAGTCTCTGTAGGGAAGTCAGCCCACATACCTGCTCACACACAGAAACCTGAGGATCCCTTGGTAGCCAAGATCTAACACAGCTGAACTGTCGAAGTTTCCCCATGAGCTGTTGACCTCAGTCATACAGAATAGAAAGCAGCTGTAGGTCAAGTGTGGGTCAAGGGCAGACACTATGTGCATGCCTCCGCCGGATAAAAGATAATCACCCTCCCAATTCTTCTTTTGAGGGGATCTCAAAGGCCAAAAGGTGGGAAGGAGACTAAGACACTGTATCCATTGTCCAGAAACACACTGTCCCTGTCAATAACCCCCTATTTGGTCTACTTTTATCCCTTCTATTGATGGAAGCAGAGAATACGATTCAGGCTTAAATGGGAATATAATGCTTTAACCCATATGTAGTTTATAGAGCTGTTTATCTCTGGTAATTTAAAATGTGGTTCTCTGTAGCTCAAAAATGGAGGAGGCAGAAGTTTCCAAAGATAACCAAGACACTTCAATGGAGTTCAGGCCTGATCCTGTCAAACCAGGTCTGTCATCCTTTCACAACTTTACTCCACACTTCTTGTATTCCAGACAAGAAAACATTGTGTGACATGAAGCCGGCAGTCCAATCTCAGCCATACTTGCTTGCTTTAACAAGTTGTGTCTGAAAAGAAAGATTTTTGCCAAATGCCCACCAAGCCCAACTCCTCAGAAGCTAAGAAGGAGTGGAGGCTTTTTCTATGTCCCTATGCAGGGACAATCCTAGACTCAACACCTAGCCTTCACCTGCCTAAACATAAGCATATTGATTGTGTAGGAGCTAGAGGACATGAAGTCAATGGAAGCTGCAGCTCCACATTTTTGGAGAAGGAAAAGAAAAACAAAGGTCCTTTATACTTGAAACTTGGTTATAAATTCAAGAACATAATTTTGGACCTGCATTTGACAGCTTTTTGACAACCTGTTGACTGAGAACTGGGAATTGGGTCAGGAAAAGGGAATTGTACGGTTCACAACTTAATTGAGAGACAGCACGCTGCATTTCCACCATTACCCATACTGGTTCTTTACATCAAGACCAAAAAACCCATTCCTTCACCATAAAACATATGATCAGGATGCAGCTTAACACTGATAGTAGCTGGTCTTAAGTCAACCGATTTTAATCTTATTAAGTAATTGGAGACACCCACTTCAAAGATATAAAATGTTTGGGGTTTGATCACAGATCCGCTGCTTCCTGACAATGCCTAAATATCTGAGTCTCCCATTAAATAGCATGATCACAATGGGAGTGTTTGCTGTACTTGCATAGTATTTCCATAGCTAGTTTAATTCAAAAACAATCATGGGAGGGGTGGCAGGGGAGGAGGGCAAAAGGCAGAACACAAATTAACAATTCTGCCTGTGTTTCTAATAGGAACACAGAAGAGGGAGCTAAAGGCCTATGAAGGGAAACGTCCTCCACTGCTGCTTGCTTACGCCTCTTTTTCTTTCAGGAGGATAAAGAGTAAAAAACCTTTCACCTTCAGTAACTTCATCAACCAAGGCTGTACAACTCAGGGCCCAAAAAAAACAGAACTCACGCAGGGGGTGTTTTTCCCCACTCCCTAATGGTGTTGACTTTGCCATGCCTCTGTGGACACAGAGTTGCTCACCTTGACTGCCAGGCTGACTCCATAGGGCAACACCACTGGCCACCCATGGTGCCTCCGAACTGGCAAGTTTTCTGCATTTTTCAATCCAGAGCAGGTAACCCTGGTGCCAGCTCTGGGAGAGGACAGTTTTATCCTACAGTTGTGCATGTACAGGGAAAAAGAGCATGTTGTACAGTCCGCTCTTTCTTTTCCTGGTCAGACTCTTCTCACTTTTTCAAGGACTAGAGTAGAGGTGGAAGGGCATGGTCAAGAGCTCAGCTGTAACACATACTATCTCGACTCTGCAGGGGAAGCATAACTTCTTCCCCATGGGAATAATAGCACAAACAAATGCTGGAGCTTCCATTTTCCATTTTAAATGGGAAACACTGGCATGATGTCCCCAGCATATTAGCACTTCCCAGGAGCCACACTAACCACTGAGACCCATGGGTTTGCACCAGGCCCTTCTGGGATGGCTGTAAGCAGTCAGTTGCCCACCCACGGTTCTGGGCCAAATTCTCTGCTCAGTCACAAGTACCTGCCCATGGCCTGGAAGACACTTCTGTGACTGCTGCTGCCCCCCGCCATTCCCTGTACAACAGGTAGGAGGAGATCTGAAACTTTTGTGTAGGTCTTACCAAACAGCATCTCCACCCTTTAGGCAGCATCAGATGACAATTTCCCAATTAAAGCAACAGCTCCTCCTCAGAGAATGGCATAAGCTTTCTGTGCCCACAGCGTTCCCAAGAAAATGGGTACACACAGGAGCATATGGGCCCCAGGTGCCATGTCAAGCACCAAAGTCCACAGCTGGGCTGCACCTGAGCATGCAAATATGTCATGATGCATGCTGTAATATCTAATTATGTAAATATGTCACAATGTGCTATGGATTCTCCAGAACGGCACTAATCCATACTGGTATAAACTGGGTGTACTGGGCAACATTGAGAGATTATTTTGTTTCAATCAAGGATAACACACTGGAGAAGGGACGAACTGTTAGGCTTTTTCACTCCAAAGATGTCTAAATCAGTGGGGCTTCCTGTGAAATTGGGGGTTACACTGGTGAGATTTTAGCTGCAGGCCGGCTGGGTGCCTGTGCTGTGTCAGAAGCCTATTAGAGCAGTTTGATAATGATAGCAGATCTAATATATCCCAGAGATTTAAAGGAAACCCATCTGTGTCAAAGAGATGATACAATGCAATGAAGCAAGTACTGGGATGTGAAGTCCTGGAAGATAGGAGGATCAATTAGTGAACATCAAAAGGTTTTTATACAGAGCTGAAGGAGATAACTTTTCTTGCTCCAAAAGCAAGTTTGAGACATAGATTTCATCCTTCTTTCAGTGCTCTTAGCATACTGCACGTGTACTACTAAAATGAAGAACTACTGACACATTAACACAAGCAGTAGCACTAATTTTTTAAAAGAAAAAATAAAACTCATCTGGATTAGTGCTATGGCTCCACAGTCCTTTTCTAAATAGTTACCACAAAACTCCCACCTTGAGATGGGGAATCCTGTGTGATGCTGACATCTCAGCACACCTGTAACCTCACTGACTCAGTGCAGCAATGGAAAAACGAGAGATCAGAGGACTCAACTTCAGTGCATGAAGCTACTCAAGGGTCTGAATTCTGTATGTCTGTGAACTCTAAACATGCAAGAGATGAAGAAGATGCTCTACTGCTTCTTGGCATGGAGACAAAGTGCAGTCTGGGATAGCGATACAACAAGCAGTTTCTCTATGAGCCGCCACAAAATACAGACAGGTACAACACAGCTTTGCAGAACAGAACCTGATCATAGCTCTAATCCGCTAAAGAAATGTTGCAGCAGAATGTCAAATATGGCAGACCTGATGAAAACAGTGCCTCCTTTATACTACAAGCTGTAATAAAATAAGGCATCATTGTTTTCTTTAAATCAAATTATGACTTCAGGCCTGATTTTCCTTTCAGTTATACAGTCCTGAAAAGGAATAGCTTCACTGAAGTCCACACACTAACACTCATGCAACACTGGTGAGAGAGAGGAATCAGACTTTACAGAACTATGCTTGAGAAGAATGAACTTTTTGAAAGACAAACATGAACACACACATGTACATATACAGGACATATAAGCACATGAATAGATGCATTTCACCCACCTATTTCATCTCCTAGAGAGGAGTTCAGTATTGCACCAGCAGACATAACTACGGCACAGCTCCCAAAGCCATGTGTATACAATTTGCCCAGTGGAATTTGGGGAACGTGCTTTTCCCATCCAAGAGTGGAGAAGGGAGCCTCCTTGCCATCTATTGTTTTCACATTCACCCTTTCTTTCAGCTCGCAGAATAGCTGGTCTCCTGTCAACTTGGAGTTTCGTTTCCCCTTGAACCGCACCCCATGCTTATTGGTGCTCAAATAATCTTTCATCGCCTTCTGCAGTCGAGGGTTTAGCATCTTGGAAGAGACATCCCCTTTCCAAAGCTTGTAAAGAAAGGATTTCGACATTGTGGAATATAGCCCATCCCAGTCATCAGATTCATCAAGCATCTGGCTTCTCCTGTGCTTTGTGCTCCTTCTCTTCATTCTTCTCTGATGGCTCCAGTTGTTCTGTAAAATATTTACTTTTGGATTATCCTCATCAGCTGAGATGAACTTTGCTATCTCTTGAAGGTGGTTGTGTGACTGAGGCTGACCAGCAGCAAATAAATAATTGTCATTCACTTGGTAGAAAGCACTTTTTGATTTTCTTCCTATCTGGGATGGAAAAAACTCATCTTCATTTCTAAAGGCATCTTCCAAATCAGTCCATTTCTTAATATTTCCAGTCCCCGATTTAAATGTACCTAAGAGATCTTCATTAAGAAGTACCTCATTCCCATCGATGGTTTCAGAGAATGATGGATCATGAATGGCTCCCATGATGACTCTCTGCTTGCCCTGAAGGGGCAGAAGCCTCTTAGTT